ACAATTTGTTTAATACGATACATTGTTTTCTTTACAGGAAGTTATATAAGTTGAATAAATAACTTATAACTGGTTTTGTGAAGACAATTATGTACCATAAACTAACTTTTCATCCCAAACTAAAAATCCTTACCTAGAAAGCTTTAACCTTGTAGTAGTTTGATCAAACTCTGACTATTGTATGGAATTATCTTGGCTTAAACATTTCACAAAGTTTTATTTATTCCGAAACTATACTTTTCAGCTCAGGTAGTTGCTTTTAGTGCTAACGAGTTCTTTGACCAAAACTGTTTATTATCATTCTGGGAACATTTTCATAATTTCTAAAAGTGGAATACATTAGGAGATTACTTCCACACAACGTGTTGTCTAGAATGACAGGGATAGTTTCTCAATCAAACAATCTGACTCAAAGGACTCAGAAACACTGAAATTATTTTCCTTACATGTTTCAGTTTACCGTACCTAATGAATAAAACAAACAAAACATATTTTCAAATTGTTTAACTGATAATATTTAACAATAAAAACACAAAGGTGTTCTTAAACACAGTTGATCACTTTTAAAGTGACCATATAAATATATTCACAGTTTGAAACACATCGATTATGGTCGGCATGCAATATCCTTATGGTGTGAACTAATTCATTACTTTATCAGACTGGATGTATAAATGGATGCATTATTCAAACATTTCCGATATTATTGTTCCATCTTTTTATTAACCATTTTGTTTTGAAATAGGAACTAATAGTGAGTGATAACTAAAACTATTAAATATTTTAATGCAAGTTCTACACTATTTCTGATAGACTGAATGATTTAGTACATAATTTCAGTTTAGATGGTGGTTGGAGGTAGTCGACAGGAAACCTTGGACCTGGGTTTCGTGCTACTTGGCACTCATCAGCAAGGTGTACCTGTAATCTTAAGGGAACTGGTTCTCCCTGGCGAGTTCGATCTCATGTCACCCAGCTTCACATTCAGAGACGTTACCACTGAGCTATCCGAGTCGAATCATCTAGACTGGTGGCCATATTGCAACATGATCGGTAGCATTCAATCTGCACTAATAAGGACTAGACACGCATGACATTGGTCGCTACCCAGTGATCAATCAATTGTGATATAATTTCAGTGTGTTTTTTTAAAAAAGGATAATCAAATCAGTAATATAAATCGTACAAATTTTCATGCAGATTGTCTCCATGAAATAGATGCTTAATTATTTACCAAAATAGAGTTTACAAATCACTCAGTTGATGATTCGGAATTTTTTTCGTAAATTAATAGTTTTCATACACCCTCAACCAAAGACTAGATTAATAATTATTCGACAGTTTCATAAAAAAAATCTAAGGAATTATATAATTTAATGGTCGAATTTATGAGTCAATTAAAGCTAGATCACCATGGAAAACCTGGAAGCACTGGACTGGAATTATATAACTTATTAATGATGTGTATTCAATTTACTTTAAGTAGAATTTATGTAGATAAATGATGAAAGGATAGTTTCTTCAAATAAAATTGAAAATTTACGGTTTGAGACTAATTATTCTTCATAAATTTTCATCAAATATATTGCATTGCGTTTTTAAGATAGTAATGATATAAACAATATAGTCCATGGAGTAATAGCAACTGGATACATTTATGTCTGTGACCTTAAACGAAATAATAAAAGTAAATCTGTTTATGTATTTTAGTTATAAATGGTCGAATAATCCAAGATTCATCTCTGTTGGGGACGTTAGATCCCCAAAACTCATAGTTTGTAATCTTATCTTTGTGGAGCTTGTATGCAGGTGTAGGCTTGAGCGTTTCTTACCACCCACGCACATAGTCGATTGACAAATTTATCGATTAAATGTTTAAATATTTCAATGGCAGTCGATTGACGAACTTATCAATTAAGTGTTCAAAAACTTCCATGGCAAATCGATTATATATATTTTGTATAAATACGCTTGATTTGTGTGGTTGATGGACCTGGTATCTTCTGGTTGTCTGTAGAATACACTTTCTACATCTTACCAAGACTTCTGGATCGAGTTAGCTGAGTCGGGGACAACGGACTAGTATAGCCTACAGAGTCTCTGAATCCTTGATTGTTCGTTCCATTCCGAGTAAGATAAATCAGTAGCAGCATTCAAGTTAACGAACATAACACTCTAATACTAGTTACTAAAAAAATATTGACATTTGTCATTAGAATAAGTTAGATAGTGAGTAAGAAATACGTTCAATATAATCACAATATAAACAAAATCGAAGACATGCTTTGCTATATAAGAAATTATTTAAACAGAACAACAAAAATGTCCTGAATGAACCTAGGAAGTGAAATGTCAATTCGCTATACTCAATCGATCATTATTCTATGACCTATTCTGAAGAAAAACAACCAGACAAATATTAACATATTCAAGAATAAAATTCCTAACTTCTGTCATCTCAAGTGTTTTAGAACCACTACGGAACGTTTTTTTTTCGTATTCCAGTTGATTTTAAGGTTATTTATAAAATATTGAAATGTTATTGAGACATTTTGAATGTAGATAAACTTCTCAATCATTTCGTCATTAAGATCAAAGATTTTAATTTGAAATTTTATTGGAACATATAAGAAGCATATACTCACTTCACCCATTAATCGTTATATCAAACTGTAAGTCTACAATATACAATTGTTATCCTCTGATTATGTTATCATTAGTTCAATCTTCTTGTTACAGGTCAATTCGTGTTATATGTAGATAAATACGTGAAGAAATATGAAAACCCGGAAGTGAGTTTGGTAAATCTCACTTATCATTCGTTTTACCATTCACTTATGCCATTTCATTTAAGATGATTCAAGTGTTTAACTGATTGTCCAGAGTCAAACAAATATTTATCCTTTTATATGTCTTCGGAAATACAATGAACACTATTAGTTGAAATGAAGGGTAACCAATTAATAAAGAAATATACCAGGTCAACACAGAGTAGTGATAAAACTTTGTAATTTGATCATTATGTAATGATATGTTTGATTTTAATTTGAATCATTTAGGATTAACTCATAACATACAGTTTTACCTTTGAATTATATAACCCATTTAATTCTACTCGTTTATTATGTACCTTTACTAATGGATTTTTCTGGTAATTTCCCTTTTAGAACATAGTATTTAATTATTTAAGAATGAGACTATATTTCATGGACGACTTTGAGCGACGCTAAAGTGACCTTGAGAATGTACATTTACTAACTAGGACTAAATAAGGGTGATAAAGTAGTGTGAGGAATTAGAATTATGGTTTACAGTTGATGGTTGAGGTTAGGAAGTAGTTTTAGGGTTATAATCATGAACTCATATCAGCTAAAATGCTAAAACGCCATTTCGATAAATAGATGAATGAATTTCACGCCAAAATCCAAAAAAACTTGTAATGTAATAACTGATTGGTTTGCAAGTAAATTATAGTCTCACCATTTATTAAAATCAGAAAAAAGTTTATGTTGTTTCATTTAAATTATTATTTTTTTTATTAATCCTAGTCTAATGAACAAACAATGATCTCTTGAGTCTAATAAAACATCATTGAGTACTAGTTAATCGATTGACAGAATAACGAAATATCAGAATATATTCGTATAGGGAGTTTATAGGGTTTATTTAATTTGATAATTTACAACAAGAACTGACTAGGAAGCACTGTAAAGCTGTTTCATCCCAGTACAGAAGATTCCTGAATTGTACATTCACGAAAGTTTGGTGAATTGTACATCCCGGTTTCGTGGTCAGCGCTTGACCTTCAATCACTTGTTCATCATTCCATTTTTCACGTTTTTTTTATTCAATCAATCCATAGTGTTGCGCAACTATATATCAGGTTCAGAGGTTCTTGCATCTATTACTTTCCAATAACAGACAGTTAGTCATAAACAATTAATTAAGTTAATTTTAATTATTGTCAGAATAGGCGTTTATGGAGATTGGATTTCGGCTCAATAGTCTAGAGAATAAGCATTCGCACGTGATACCGAAGGTCCTAGATTTCAGTCCCACATGAAGAATCGTGAATGTGCACATCTGAGGAGTCTCATAATAACTTAAGACGGCCATTCTATACTCTCAGGTTTCCATTGATGATGTGATACAAATGTCGAAACAGTTCTACTGTATGGGGTGGAAACCTGGAGAACTACGAAAGCCATCATCCAGAAGATACAGGTGTTTATTAACAGTTGTCTACGCAAAACACTTCAGATCCGTTGGTCAGACACTATTAGCAACAACCTATTGTGGGAAAGAACAAACCAGATCGCAGCGGAGGAAGAAATTAGGAAGAAGTGCTGGAAATGGATAGGACACATATTGAGGAAAGCACGCAACTGCGTCACAACACAAGCCTTCACGTGGAATCCTTAAGGCCAAAGGAAAAGAGAAAGACCAAAGAACACATTACGCCGGGAAATGGAAATAGACATGAGAAAAATGAACAAGAATTGGATGGAACTAGAAAAGAAGGCCCAGGACAGTATGTGTTGGAGAATGCTGGTCTGCAGCCTATGCTCCATTAGGAGTAACAGGCGTAAGTAAGTAAGTAATGATGATGTAGCTTAGTTAGATACGTGAATGCATCTTTGAGAATACTAAAATTTGCACAAATTTCCAAAATCGATATTTAGTAACTATGGAAAAGAAAACAAATTTTTTCATAAATAAATTCAGTTTATTTATTCATTGGTTTATTTGTTGAATATGAATTATGAAATTGGTATTTGATTGTTTTATACACAAAAATATTATTACAAATCACTTAGTGATTAAGTGAAAAATAAGAAGCTAATTTGAATTCATAAACCATAAGTTAAATTTCATTACTGATAGTTATCGTTAAGTAGTATTATTAAATATTTTCCAAAAAAAAATATTACATATGATTATTACGTAACTGTATCATATAAAAACAGATATTGAATTCCATAGCAATAATAATAGTTTGTTTAAATCACATCGTCGTCATCATTGGAACATGATGATGAATTTTCTGGTTGATTCAATGTTGATTTTTCATTTAATACATCATCATATTGTATTGGATGATAATCTGTTTTCAGTGTATAATTGTAATATTGAGGAAATAAGGAGGAAGAAAAAGAAGAATCAGTTAGTTTATGTTGTAGATCATGAAAGTCAGCAGAAGGTAAAGATGGAATATTTGATGATAATTCATATGGTCTTGTGTAAATAACATTTGTACAAGTATTATTTGTAGTAGTGATTGTATTTGTTGTAGTAGTATTACATTCAAATATAGTAGGATTATTATTAAAATTTATTACAGTTGCATGAATTTGTCTTTTAGGTCTTTTTATTTGTGTTGTAATAGTATGCGGTATACAATGTCTTTTTAATTGTGGTGTAAGAAAATGCATAGAAGATTTCTTTAATTTAAAATCATCAAAATGTGAAGTGGATGCAAAATGTGAAGGTTGATCAATACCTATATTTGTACTTTTAACAATTGATTCTTCATTTATTTGGTGACTGTACAACTTATCAGCATACTTTGCCTCCCAGTCATAATTTGTCGGTGGAGGCACCGGTTGAAAATGCATGTTGGACGTGAATTCATATGGAAATATTTCTAAGCTTTCATCAGTGTCAAACGATCTATGAGCTTTGAGATTTGATATGTGTGAACCTGATGGGGGTGGAATAGGATGAAATATTGAACTACAGGGATTCGGATAAAGATTAGATCTATTTTTAACTGATGGGGTCTCATAACCATATGGTTGCCGCCTAACAACTGTTGACAAGGAGAATACTTTGAAGTATATTCGACACTAGGACTTCGTGTTAAATGTGGCATATTTCTTAATCCCCATAATGGTTCACCTCGAATGTCTCTTTGTTTTGTGAAAATAGGAATTGAATGTTGATGAGGAAGCTGTAAAGGACGTTTCTGTCCGGCTGTTTTGGTATCCGTATATGATGGGTTGTAAAAATCAGGAGGATTCATATCACGTAACTGATAGTACGGTGTTTCACTTTCATCCTTGACAAAATCTACGTTATATTTAGGAGTCACATTTTCTAAACTCTGATGCTCATCAGTTATAATGTCATCAGTTCTTCTCATATCACTACTTGGAGACAAATAAATACTATACTCTCTGCTCGACATTAACGGCTTTTGAGAAAATGCTTTTGCATGTGAAATCCCATATGGTACGTATTTTATTTCATCAGTATTATAAAGTTCATCAATATTTTTACGCACCAGTTGAGGATGATCTGATTTATCAAAATACTGATCATGTTGATCTGAAAAATAAATGATTAATTCAAAAAATGTAATCATATCATTAAGTGTACAAATAAAATTACATTAAAAAAATACTAAATTATGATAAGGAATATTAAAATTCCGGCGAGACTATAATTTATGGACAAAACAATCACGTATAAGATAACGGGTCTCGGAATTTGGCGCGAAATTCACCCATTCACTTGACTAAATAAGATTTTGGCATTATAGCTGGTGTTAGTTCGTGATGAAAATTGTAAATCTAATGCCTAAACTTATCCACCATCTGTAAATCCTAATTTGAATTCCCTACATTAATTTATAACCCTTATTTTGTCCTAGTTACTGGGTGAACATTCTCAAGGTCACTTTAGCATCGCTCAATGGTCGTCCATAAATTATAGTCTCATCAAAATTCCATTACCGCATTGAATATACAAATGAATTACACAACTGTTAAGTTTTTATAAATGAGTTCCAAGAATTGTAATTTGCGATCAGTTAATTATTGTTTCACAATTTATACCTCCTTGTCTATATAAAGTAAATAATAAAATGACATTCAATATCCTTAATTATTAACATTAATATTACATTGTTTGATTGACACTAAATATTCACAAAAAGAATTATTCAAGGAATTTAAATGTACACTTAAGAGATCCTTATTTCTTGAACTTTGGAAGTAGGAGCATATAAACCTGAAGGGATATTGGGCAACAGAAGGCTACAGTTGTAAATCTGGTGTGTGTGTGTGTTCATAATTGCTAATGGGTCATAAACACTATGCAATATTTTGTGTTTCTTTTATCATTTACCGAATTCCATTATAGAAATTTGTATGTTGACAATATAATAAATCAGTCTATGATAATAATTAATAATCAGCTTAACATCTAACAGACTTTGATTTATTGCTTCTTTATGCGGTTGAGTGTACCGTCATAATTACAAATATTGATTTAATAAGGAGGTTCATAGAGCTACATATTTATATATGTTTATTTGTACAAGTATTAATCCATTACCTAGATTTCCGTTGGTAATGATTCATATTGCCTTACGTTTTAACTAAGAGCTTCAAAAATTCACTCATAAGCATGAAATTAAATCCCTGATCTTTTGTTGAATATAATCTTGAAAAAATTCTCAGCTATATACATTCCCTGGAATTCCTGTCAGATCAGTTCTTAACATGTATAGATATTCTTACCCCTCTACAGCAAACTGGTTTAGATGCATTCTCTACGTGACACCTATAAATTTATTGATTAGATAAACAGAAGGAATGTAGATGAAAAACTTACACTTCACTTGAAGTCGAATTACTATTTATTAATGTTTTATTCACAGAGATCATTTTGCTTCATCTGCAAGTAGATCATATTGTAAATATGGAAATATTGACATTCTATTTAAAGGAACTATTACTATGATTTACTTTTAATGCACAATTTACACTTCATGACATAATCTATCAACAAATGTAGGAACCCGTTTTAGCCAGTAATTGACGTATTGTTTCTTATTCAGTTTGGGAACTACTCAAATATTTTCAACTGTATGTATTCGAAATTTTAACAGTTATGACGATAAATCTGGCTTGAATCACACACTATAGAAATTTAACAACAACCATTCGAGAATCAAATTCATAGTTGAAAAATTATCTACTTTGTTGATGATAAAATGATAATAAAGTTTAATAGAGCCCTCAAGAATTCTACTTTCAAATAATCTTTGTGGAATGACAAGCTAGCAAGTTTTAAAAAAGGTTGTCTATCAGTACAATTAGAGATTTATTCATGTTCTTCGCTATATAAATATGAAAAATTTGAAATCTCTATGCAATGGAAAAAAGCTTATCGAAAATGTGTATCCACTGTGATTTATCGACAAGAATGTAAAATTCGAGCCCGCAAAAGTAAAAATAATCTCTGCATAGAAGAGGATACTCTAAATGAACATCGAATTCAAAGAGGACAAATTTGTAGTCACCTTGTAGGGAAAAATTTCTGATTCATTCAAAATAATGTTCTTTGTGGCAATCTAATGATTAGTGTTCTCTAGGTGACCAATGTTCAGGAACAATCTAAAGAAATAGATTTGCGTCTAACAACCTACATGGACATATATCTGTTTACCTACTTTTGTGGAGATAAGCAGATGATGAGAACCTAATGAATTAAAATGAATTCATATTATACTGCACTAATCTTCGTTCTTGCTCTATTTATGAAAAGGATTCGTTAACAAGAAATTAATCATGTGCTGATCGACAGTGTTCCTTATTTATACATTCATAATTTAATTCATGATCAAATAATGAATAATTACTGTCTAAAGTAAGAGTGTTACTATACATCATCCAGATTTTAGTCAGTCAATAACATTGGCATTCAATAATTTTTTATCCAGTATTGTTAATGAACTGGTCGGCGGCCTATGCTCCATTGGGAGTAACAGGCGTAAGTAAGTAAGTAATTGTTAATGAAACTTATAATTAGTTATTTATTCTATTCAATATAAATTAAACTGAACTACAGATGATTATGAGCAAAAACAGAAATTAAAAAATTTATAGGTGTCATTACCAAGGTTTGACTTGAAAATTTCAAATAAATTGGGCATTGGGTAGATTTTTCTGAATAAAAATAATATATTTTTAATTAAGATCATGAACTGATTGATGTTAGACCACCATTTAAAACCTGAAAGCACTGGACTGCCATTTCGTTCTGCTGGGGGAATCATCAGCAGTGCGCTCCCACGATTCCGCACACGAGATTCAAACCCAGGGCCATCGGTCTCGCGCGCGAACGCTTAAACTATAAACCACTGAGCCGGTATCCAACGATGTTAATATTTAACCTCGACCAGTCCACGAATATATATGTAATATCCCAATAAGTAGAAAAACTAGATTTTCTGATGTTTCGTGACTCAATGTAAACAACTTCTTCAGAGGAATAATTCTGATTTAGTTATTCAATCTCTGAAGTGGCTTGTATTGAGTCACGAAACATTAGAAAATCTAGTTTTTCTACTCATTGAGATATTACAAATATATTTTTTAAGATTAAAAATAGAAAAATATCCTGTTAGTTGGACTAATTAGAAAAATTTTTTTTTAAACTGTAGTGTGTAGGTGGAGTGAAAATTGTTTCAATGAAGCGTGAGTACCAAGGAGATGCTTTGCTTAATATATAAACGTTTATTTTTAGGTTTATATTAGGTTTTCACATCTAATATTTGGATTAGACACACAAAAAACACATTTGTAATGAGGTAAATATTTAGAATTTAATAGGATTTATGCTTATAGCTGTGTATATTACATTCATTGATAAAATAAAAATATACTACTGAACCTAAGTGACATTGTGGTGTGAGTTTACTTATATCCACATAAGTAGCAAATAACGGTGGTCAGACATAGAATGTATTTCAGTAGAAGGTCGATAAGGAAAGAACGGAAACGGAACGCAGTTGGTATGAAAACGTATGGAAAATGAAATCTGAGACAATGGATTGATGTTTGCAACAGGAACAGTCAAGTTTGAGACGATGGATTGATATTTTGTAGATTAACGATATACTACATGGATCTCAGATTTTAGTGAGATGCTCTGTAATTTCGTGTCAAATACATTCGAATGTCCCCCACTCACGTTCTATTCACTACAACATTACTGAGTATGTTGTTTTTAAAATATATTCAAATTAAAATTGGTGAAGATTATCATTGAAATTTACCTTCATAATAACCTCCTGATGAACTAGTCACTGGTAGACGACCCTGGTATTTGATTTTTGAAAGTTCTTCGTTACTTTCACTTATTTTGTCAGTGTCTTCAAAGTCTTCAGGTATTTCATGATAAGTATTATCTCTTAAATACGTAGAATGACGTTGATAACATCTTGAATTACGACCAGAATATGCTTGTTCTCTTTTATTTCTCACACAATAAGTCGGATGTTTTTGGTATTGCTCAGTTGTTGTTTTATTTTCATCATGAATAAGATATTGTGATTTATTACTAGATATTGTTTGATCAATTTCATTCATTCTAGATTGTTTTTTGAATTGGCTACTGGCTAGATACATAGGTTGTTCTGTGAATTCTGATCCTCGTGGAGTAAGAAGACGATTAGGATCATTGTGATGTGAAGTCTTTAAAAATAATCAAATAATCAACATTTGAATTCATATCGAGTAATGTAATTATAACAGTAAACAATAAAACAGATACAAAGAAGCACATTTTATCATTATGTTGGTGAGTTTAAATTTGGGAAAATCAATTTAATATATAAAATTAAGTAGTTTCTTTCTCTTACAATCTCATTTTAAGAGTTTCAAACCATTTAACTGTCATTTTGGTCCGATTTAGTGTTGTATCATGATACTTCATGCTTTGATTCAAAACTGAAATTTGTACCAACGGATTGTGATAAATACTTGTTAATATTCAACTTCTAGTATTGTCAGCAAAGTCTGTAATGTAGTGACTGAAATTGTTTAATTTGAATATTGGTGTTTAATATGTTAATGGAGTTGAATAGTATTGTTTAATTCTAGCTAACTTATTGAATATCACATTCAGCACAAAAATTACGATCATTACAACTCTTTACTTAGTAAAGTTTAATTATTTATAATTAGTAGTATCTGTAATATAGAAGAACATAATGAAATGAATTCTGATCGTTTAAAAAAACATTTTTGAAACTATGAAATAATTCCTGACGTTTGCAATGTTAAATCAATATTTAATTCTAGTTCACTTGGTATTGTTTACTTGAATCTTTACATTGATTAAACTTCACCCCAATGCACAAGCAAGTGACTATCAGGACTCGGTAGCTAAATGGATAACGCGATGGAGTTTGAAACAAACGGTACTGGTTTCGAGTCCCAACTGTGGGTTACATCCATCTGATGAGTACTAGATAGGGCGAAACGCGCGTCTTGGATGTTACTGTTCGCCACCACCACCTCTGCTTATTGTTATTTGTCGATCTGCACCCTAATGTTCATATATAGACACTTTAGATTGTTCTCTGTAATTTTAGAGATGACTTGATATTCACTAAATCACTTGTTATTTTGGATGATTGTCCGATTCTGACATACGCGTTTCTAATATACTTGTGCACCCCGCTACTTGAATGATAAGACTAAAGTTGAGAGTAAGCTGTATTGATGAACACTGAGATGCAGGTACATCTAACTGACGAGTCCCAAATAGGACGAAATGGGCATCCTGGATTCCACCGCTAGCCACTACCCGTCTTTACACTTAGTTTATTTTGAAAAATGAAATTACTAATAATGAGTTAGGTATTACCTATTTTAATGAAAATCCGGCTATTATTTTTCATATTCCTGACAGTATTTTCGTTAACGATAATTAATTGAAATAAGGATATCTATAAAATAGAATGAAAAAACCTACTGAATTTCTACTTTTTCTTCGATTCTTATTTTCAGATGTTGTTTTCTCTGAGAATTCACTGAGTTCGGGGCTATACAAAATCAATTAAGCAACAAAATAATTGCAAAATATAACTCAACTATTCTATAAAAGTATATTAATGTTCTATATAGTTTAATTTCCATTACAAGCGTATTGCTATTAGGTTTTGTGAAGTTTATAAAATTTATTCAACACACATCACGTCATAAACGTCATCAAAATTGTTTTATTTTCAGTGTGCTACTTTATTCAATAATACATTACTGTGATGTGATGTTCATTCAAATTATGATATTCTTTATAAGCAGAGATGATGGTGGCTAGCAGTTGAATGTACTAGCATCACAGAATCGATGTTCACTCCGACCCGCCCTAAACTGGGTTCGATCTTCGGAAAGAACATCAATCCTGGGATGCAGGTAAATTCGGCTGACGAGTCCAAAATCTGACGAAACATGCGTCCTGGATTTCAATGCTAGCCACCGTCATCTCTGCACATAATGCTTGTAATTTGAAACAATATCGAGGCGATCTGCACAGAATGCACATATGCCATTAAGAGGTTGATCAACTATAATCCTAAACGTCAATGGGAATATTCAAACAACCAATACAAAAATGTCTGATATTATTTGTGTTGAATTACAGTGAACGATGTTAAACGTGACATATGCCCCGCGATTTTATTATAATTTCGTAAATGTAACTTTCCTAATTAATAGTCAAATGAGTGAATGAATCGGTTTATAAAGTAGTGTATTTTCAACTAGGTTCGTCGTGTTTTCTGGGGGGTAAGCAAATTTTGAATTGTATCAGTTTTCGCGTTCATGCTTCGCGTCGTGGGAATTTCAGTGGTTACACGTTTTCAAGTATAATTGATAAGCAACGCGGATATAACAAGAAAGTTTTGTTTAATTAAAAAAAAGGAAAGAACTGCTGTTAAGGTGAGGCATTGTAGGGAAAAATATGAAAGTAACATATTTTGTCTTTGATGAGTGATTTTGCTTACGTATTTCTACGGTTCTTATTGTATATTCTCTTTTAACTTATTATTTGTTGTGATTTCTCATATTGGTAAAGCATAAATTTATGGATAAATATCGTAGTTATGTACTGTTTAAACTTTACAAAAATGTGGTAGGTTAAGGTTTGATAATCTAATACCTATCTAATGGAGTAAATTGCAAGTCAGAATAATAAAGAATTCTTGTGATTACTTTTCTTAGCAAAGAAACGAATATAAATGAAAGTTAGTAAGGGATTATTGAAGATATTTAAAACTACCATACCTTCTAGAAGTTTGGTGTCATTACGAGTGGTTAGTTAATTAGCACAAACATAAACTGATAAGGTAGATTTAAATGATAATGCAACAAATGATCACGGCTATTTTAAACCTGTCGTTTTAGAAAAATTAATTCAAATTTCTGTATTTTATACAGAAAAACAAATATCATTTTGTCACTAGCGACTACTTTTGAATAAAATTTCAGCGGTTCTGATGAGACGTAGCTAATAGAGTTCAATCGTGTAGTATGTCAGTAAGATACTCACTGTAGATAATGGCAGACGGCTGTGAAATATTGTGGACTGATTGGAATTGAACATAAGCACCATTTGATGATGAATCAGTGGTCTAGAGGTTGAGGATTCATGCACAAAGCCGAAGAGCCTAAGTTTGATTCCTGATTGAGAGGTCAAGGATGCGCACTGTCGAGGAGTTTTGTACCAAGACGAAACGACCGTACAGTGCCTTCAGGTTTTCTCTGATTTTCTAACTTAATTAACTTTAATAAAATTGGGTTATCTTCATAACCCAGTACTAAAAAATAAACATACAACTTATGTGTAAAACAATCAGAACTAGATAATTAACAAAAGAAATTCGGAAGAAATCAGTAGAAAACGAAAGTAATCACTTCTACTCACCTTCCTCTTTCATCTTCCGTTTCAGAATTAACATTTGGATGATGAGCATTTTGTTTTACTGCACCAAAGAATCGTGCCAATATACTAGCAGATTTCTAATTTCAATGAAAATTTAAATGATATTATACTTTATGTCTTTTAGTCAATATCAAAAGACAATAGAACTAATAAACGATATTTTATAATAATGTTTTAAGATTCTTCTTTATGAATGTTCATTCCATTATGAATGATAGTTATTAGACTATTTGTGATTGTTTTAAAAGCCTTTAGCTATTCATGTAAAAGGGAGAATTAGTCACGAAAGATTATAAATTATCATATTCATATATTAGCAGAACTAGAAACTTTTAATTGAAAGACTATTGTTTTAAATATCATCATTAAATGGGATTCTTTCAAAGGTTTCAAATAATCACTGATAAATAAAAATGACTGTCGATAAGAAAATTATTTTACTTGGTACTTTTAAGATTGACTTTTTCTGATGAAAATGTCAGAAAAACAAACAGGATAACTTGAGATACTTGTTCAGAAAGAGAAAGTGATTTGATTGGTATCGATCAAACAACGACAGTAATTCAAAGACATACTTTGATAAATGGAAAAACAAAATGTATGAAAATATCACTTTGGACTATATTATACAAATGGAATGTTGATTTGATTGTTACACTGGATCACTTGTTCTTTTCAAATACAAAACTATTGAAAACCATTTTGTCTATCTCTTTTTAGTTATTTAACCAAATTAATCACTCAGATTGACTGTCTGAAATACCCATATTCAGTTATAAGCTAATCACTAAGATGTTAGACATATTATTTTCTCTTGTCTGAGAAATGACAGCCGGTTCATTAAAAACTTATTTACCACCGGTTGTCATTAAAATAATAGTAGCCTAAAGTGTTTGTAGTTAGTGTTAAATACTGGGGAATCAGCGTTGAAATGCAGTTTAATGCAATCTATCTTTAGAAATTCGCAAATCCAACAAACAGAATACAGGGATTATTGCAATGTTGTATAATTCTTTACTCTAAATATATATTTCATCTTAATTGGACTGATTATCTTTATTTTTATTATGAGTGAAAGAAGATTGTTTGAATATAATTGATTTAATAAATAAGGTTTATATTATAGGACAATAGATTTAGAAACGATGTTATTTATAGCGAACTATTATGGTATCTAATTTAAGCTTCACTAATTCACAGCAGCTACGATTATTATTCAAAATCAAAAACAAAATTTGAAAATACCAAATTAATCGTTAGAACAAACATGACTTCATGATGACGTCAGCTTTTAACGCAACTATCACCACGAACCATTAAGCAAGAAACAGAAAACCAGGACGATGTTTCTGTCATCTTCATACACTAGTTTGGCTATTTGTAACTGAAGAAACTCATTCACCTCGGGTTTATTGTTTAGGAAATATTAATCTGTTCTTATTAACCTGCCCTAATAGGAATCTTATCAGTAACATCTTCGTAAGGTGACCCAATAGATACAATGAATTAAGTATATTTGATCAACCACAAATATTATGCAAATTAATTAATTGATCAGATCAGAGAAACAAAGACAATTAAGTCAGATCATTCAATGAAATTAGTTTAAATGAGCCAGGTTAGCCTAAAGCAACAAAGTTAGCATTTAACTACAAACTGATAGACAAAAAAAATTGGGATGTATCTGGTACTATTATTCACTTAGGAACGTATTATCTATTTTTGAAAAAGAATGGGATTCCTAAGTTCAAGAAATTAAGTTTGACTGCGAATTTCTAGTAGATCAAAACAACAGATTAAACTACTATCTATAGACATGTCTTAATATATCTCATCGCCTAATCAGTGTTAATAACAGGCAAAAGATTTGCTTAGTTAACCCCCTTTACAATGCTCCATTCCTATATATTGATAAAACATATACTAAGCTGTTGGTATATACTCAGTTGGTCTTCTATCTTTAGGAATACTTTAAACACAACCAATCTCTAAATTATGATTATTGTCAATGTTAGTATAATTGGGAAATTTCAATTTAAGATTGGTTCGCATTCCATCTTCCGTGTTTTAAGATAAGGTGGACTATTCATAGTAAATATATAACACATGTAGCTCAAAGGTTGAGTTGCAATCTATACCTGTATATCATTCAGAATAAAAAATATATTTTTTACAAGGAAAATAAATGGAAACTTACAGAAGTTCCACCTTTACCTTGAAAGGCTCGTGTTGCTCTCCAATTTTCAATCATAAGATAACTTGCATATATTTTCCCAACAGTCATTTTGTGATAGACAAGCTCTGTAATGTACGGATAATTTTTTATAAGATTATGAATAGTAAAGTTCTTATCGATAATTGTAATAATAAAAAAATATTTTCATAACATTCTTATGAATAAAAATTTAGATTTGAAACTTACGAAATTCGTGTAACTTAGGAGCGAGACTAAAATTTATGGACGAACCAATCAGGTTCAAGATAATAGATCATAAATTTTAGCGCGAAATTCATTCACTCATTTTGTAACGGTATTAAAAATCATTGCATATAACGTTACTAATGTAAGTTTGTTTTCCTTATTGCAGGGCAACAAAGAGTGAACGTACTAGAAGAAGAGGAACAAGCCTTAAGCAGGCTGAACCTGCAGAACAATGAATAAACCCAGTTTGTAATAAGCTTCCCTTTTTGTACTCGAACCGCGTCTTTCAATTTTAAAACATATCTCTGTTGGCCAGTACGCCGTGTTCTTACTTCAGTGGCATTTACCGGTCCTGACTGTTTGTTGTGTTTCAGATCGCTCCTGTTTGCAAGTAAACGCTAATAGTACGTGCTACAATTTGGTTAAATATCGTTTTGGCATTATATTTGATGTCAGTTCGTGATAAATATTCGATCTAATTTTTAACCCTAATGTTAAACTGTAAATACTAATCCTAAATTCACACACTAACCTATAACCCTCATTTAACTCTAGCAAGTAGGTGTGCATTCCAAACTCATTGTAGCGTTGTTTAGTTCTTGTTCGAAAATTGTAGTCTCATTCAAAATCCTTTATTTTAATTCAATGATAAACTAAATTATTTTTATCTGATTACATTCATAATCAGACCAGATTTAAAATAAAAAACCAACAACAAGGGAAATTTGCTCACAATAATATATAACCATTCAATGATGCAAAACGGTAAATATAACTAAAATGGTTGATGGCTGGCAGTGGAATCTAGGACGCACGTTTTATCCTGCCTGGGACTCGTCAGCCGGATGTTCCTGCATCCCAGAGTTGATGTTCACTACAACAGCAAGTAAATCCAGCTGACGAGTCTCAAATAGGACGAGACGCGCGTTTTGGATTCTACGGTTTTCCACCATCCGTCTCTGCTGATAATGCTTGTGACTTATGGAAATGTCGAGATAAAACGCACAGGACGTACATAAGCCAATAAGAGACTGATCAATTACAGTCCTAAACAACAACAGAAAGTTTCAAACAATCAATACCAAGTGAATATAATATAATTACTTCATGATTATACTTTCACGTATACAGTTGAACTTTTCGTTACCTGAATCTGGAGGTACAAGCAAATTAAGCATTTTCTTTCCATGAACAGGCCATAATTTACAAATAGTTTCTTTTAATTCCATATCACGTTGATCCATTATTTCAGTTGGTCCCGTTTTAATGCCTAATGATTCACGTATTAAAGCTAATAGCGTAGTTGTGAAATTAACACAACCATTTTCATCTACTGGCATATTCATTCGAATTAATTTCTATAAAAATAGAATAAATGGAAAGTTATAAATAAGTGTTGTATGGTTTCGGTGTATAGAGATAGTTTGTTATGACGTATTCTTCACTGATTGATCTCATACTGATAATATTTTAAAAACTTATTTTAACCTTAAACCCATGTTAATTCATCAGTCAGTCAGTAACAACGTAGAACTTCGTACGTACGTACATCAGTTCGAGTTGCCGTACCACATTAGCACAAAGATGCAGTTGTCCATTCAAATCCTGTAGTGGTAGAGGTAGTAAGAGTATAAGCAGTAATCGGAAACATTAGGGTTTGAAGATTTTATTCAAAGAGTATAATCCAGTAAAGTAAATTTGGAAAGAGTAAAAAGAAAGGGACATGAAGAATTCAGGAGATTAGAGTCTGGGAGAACATAAAGAGTGGATGCACCTGCATCATTGCACACAATTTTGAGTCATGTCATTCAAGGTCTCTAACCCTCGATTGCTATCATCTCGCGGATCCCAACCAGGTAATCTACACCTACCAATATGACTCAGTCCGCTTGTCCGTGACCTCATGGATTTGTGCCATGTTTTGGTCTGGCTGCTCCATTTTAATTCGTGATGAATGTTATTCATGAATTAGGCTAGTCTGCATAAGATCCCTTAATAAAAATAGTAAAGATTATGTTCATTTATATGATGAAAAACAATTATTAGTCGATGTGATCTTTATTATGTAATCTGTTTTGGTAAGATAGATTACTCTGAAATTTAGATTTTGCTAGTACTATAGTGGTCTTACTTTACATTTAAATAAGCGGATTAAATTAAAATCTATATTGAAATCTTACTAACCTTTAATGTTATCTAAAAAGCTTTAGCTGTATTGCGAAACTTGTTGAAAAATACTTGATTTTCTCAAAAAACACCTCATTTTATATGTTTATTTGGATGGATTTTTAAGGAAAACATAAACTTTAATGATTCTACTTGTAAAACATCACTTAAGATGTGATAAGTCTTCTAATTGAACGCTAAATTTGGTTCCTAAGTTCGTTTATCAACCCCAGGCGACTTGAACACGAGAGAAAAAGCGCGAAATACGGAAGAAACGCTTTACTCCAAGGGTTCGTTTATGTACAGAAAATCTAGGGTTTTTGATAGTATTTTAGATATCTTTGGGTTCCCGGTAAATAATGGAACGCTACTAAATATAGTAGCAGTATAGCTAATCATCCAGTTAGAAACTCGACATGTGACTTTTCACTTTCCAGATGTTTCTGACAAGACTTCTAGTGAATGCTGATTGGATAAGTTTCTTCTCAGCATTTTGAGAGCCTTTTTTGGTTTTTTTTGAAGAGTTTTTTTAGATTTCTTCAACAAAATGAACCAAGAAATCAAAGGTGATCTAATATCTCATGCACTTTGAAATTGACTGTCAAGTGCAATTAGATTAACAACATTCTCTCTTAGAGATAAAATACAGTTTTTTAAATGTATGTCCAGTTGCTTTTATGTGATTTTGTGCTTTAACCTATCTTCGTTGATGAAAGATACGTTAACCTTAGCTAACATCTACTTTCTACATACATACAGCTTACTGTTACAGTGTTCAAAGGAATACGACTAATAATTTGACAGTTAAACATCTAAATTGAATACTGTTTTGAAGATTGTTTATTAAAACTAAATAGCTTATTAAAGTAATCTTAGATGATAATCAAATATATTATTATATAAAATATTCCAAATGGAAGTTATTCATACAAAGAGTAAATAAGTATGGAATAAACATGAATTTCCGGATCTAAACTTTAGTTAAGATGAATTGCTTACTTTAATAAACAACTCAATATGAATGTACTATGACTGAAAACAAAATGAGCACTTTATTTCAGAAGTTCTTCATATTACGGTTAATAATGGATGAGAGACAAAATGATAAATTAAACTACTATTAAATAAAAGAATCAAAAAATAAATAAACGAAGGTACTTTCATGAAATCTTCAAAGAGATTTTCTATTTTATTGTGATGATTTGAATATTCAAAGTTTCGCTTTGAAATCTTTAGGTTTATATTCAAGAAACCTTGACAAACTACAGAAGCTATTTTTGTTGGTGTTATTTCATTTAATTCAAAGCTTATAAAACAATAACATTTATTTTTGTTCCTAGGCTATTCTACAGATCATAATGTGGTGTGTGCTACTTATATTGACATAAGTAGTATATGGTGTTAGTCATGAACAGAATGTCTGGCAGCAGAGAGACAAGAGGATCGAACAGTAAAGAATGGAAACAGAATGCGATTTGTATGAAAATGCAAGAACAATGAAGTCTGAGTCAATATGAGACAATTGGTGGACATTTTCCAAATTAAGCATTTACTTTATGATTATTAGATTTTATTAACATGTCCTGTTATTTTGTGTTAAATACATTCGATTGTCCCCATCCGTGTTCTATTCGCTACAATAAGCTTTTTTTATGTATGATTCACTGCCATATCCTTTGTTTTGTTCTAAAGCTGTTGTATAATTTAAACGTAATGTTTTGTACTCTATTGTCTACTCTAATCTCCAGTTTTGGACATAATTGTATTTTTTTAATGGTTGAGATCATGAGTCAATTGAAGCTAGACCACCATGGAAAACCTGGAACAAATAAACGGTGGTGTCGTCCTATTGTGGGACTCCTCAGCAGTGTGGATCCACGATCCTGCCTCACGAGATTCATACCCAGGATCTAGTTGTATTTTCCTAATTGTTGTGCTTTGTGCTCTGGTTATTCATCTATTTATTTATGTATCTTTTTACACTAATCTGAAATCGGGAACCAGATCGGAATTGGGAATAAATCGAGTAGTGTTCCAGTTGACTTGTCTTCTCTCATTCGCTTGCTTGTCAGTCAATCAGGTGATAGAATAGTTTTCATCTCTCTACCCCAAGCAGTTGATCTCACTTCGAATTCACACATACAAGCCAGTCAGCCTATCGCTCAAGGTCTTTATCTAGATTAGAAAAGTTATCCTGTGCCCAAAAGGACGTAACAAAATGTGAATAATCTACAGATTTCAACTACAAACATGGCTGGTTCTTAGCCTATTTAGAGTCATGAATGGAGAATAGAATGTACATCCAAACTAGAACAACAAATCTTCGCAGTCATTTAGTGATGCTTTTTATGCTTCCAGTTCATATGAAGAACTTAGAATAAATTTATATGTAACCAGAATATGAAAAATACACTTTATTTTAATGGAATTCTAAAATGTTTTGATTATCACTTTCCCGATTGTGCGAATATGACAATAAGTATTCCGATTTTAGATAAATTTGGACCGAATAATAATGAATTATAACTGTGCATACTCACATGGTATTATGAAAAGCATACAACCTAACGTTAAATACCATAAATCTCAAACTGAGGCACTCTACTTGTTAGGATATTCGGTGAGACTATAATGCATGGACGACCTTTGAGGGATGCCAGACTGACCTTGGGGGTGTCCACTTAATAACCAGGACCGAATGAGGAATATAAATTAGTGCGGGGGAATTCAAATTATTAATTACTGTTGATGGTTAAGGTTAAGAATCAGATTTACAGTTTTACATCACGAAATCCAAAATCCGAGACATTTTGTCTTATACCTGATTGGTTCATCCATGAATTATAGTCTCTCCGAAAAAATGGGTGAAATTGTTGTTGTGCATGAACTAAACTTTCACCAATGAAGATGATTGAAAGATCTTTTATCACTAAGTATAAACTTCAAAGATAGGTATCATTGAAACCATTGAAACAAGAAGACAACATAGGCAAACTGTTTTTTTCGGCGAGACTATAATTTATAGATGAACCAATCAGATTTAACATATCAGGTCATGGATTTTGGCACGAAATTCATTCACTCATTTGGATAGATGCCATTTTGACATCATAGCTGATATTACTTTGTGATGAAAACATTAAATCTAATTCCTAACTTTAACGTTCAACTGTAAATCCAAATTCTAATTCCTCGTACTAATTTATAACCATCATTTAACCCCAGTAAGTAGATGCACATTTTCAAGGTCATTTTAGCGTTTTTCAAAGGTCGACCATAAATTATAGTCTCACCATATTTTTAACGTTTTATGAATAATGATCGTTGTCATGAAAATTAGCTTACATTCAAATGTAATTCTTTCTAAGCTAGGACAAAACTGACATCCAAAAGTTTCGGACATTCAAAAGTGGCCTAACAAATATCAATTCCTCATTTAAACTATGATAATTATCAAAAGCGGTAACAATAACAATGAACAGTGATGAATGTATCTTCACAGTCGAGTTTCCATTCATTCAGAAATATAAGCTATTACAGTTATTATTTTCATATTTGATTAAAAAGATAGTTAAGTATCGGCGAGAATAAAATTTATAGATAAACCAATCCGATTCAAGATAGGAGGTTGTGGATTTTCGCGCTAAATTCATCCACTCATTTGGCTGAATACCATTTCAGGATCATAGCTAATGTCACTTTGTGATGAAAACATGGGATCTAATTTCTAACTTTAACGTTCAATTGTAAATTCGAATCCTAATTCATCGTACTAATTTTATGACCCTCATTTAACCTCAGTAAATGGGTATTTACCAGTATAGGGTTATAGAGATTATTACCATGTGCTCACTAGAGACTACCTTCGTGAGGGAATTCTCGGAGTTCTAGTGAGAAGCCGTGGCCAGTGGGACTAATCCGTATCGGGTAGAAACAGGTATCTGCCTCAGTACAATGGAAGATGGTCGTGCAATTTCACGGACTGGTTGAGGTTAGACATTAACACCGTTGGATGCCAACTCAGTGGTCCAGTAGGTTAAACGTTCGTGCGCGAGACTAAAAGCCCTGGGTTTAAATCTCATGAGTAGGATCTTGGAAGCACACTGCTGAGGAGTTCCACCATAGGATGAAATGGCCATTTGGTGCTTCCACTATTTCAATGGTGATCTAACACCAGTCGGTTCATGATCTG